TGAGCGTCTGCGCCGGGAGCGTCGCGCCTGTGGGCAGCTCCGGCAGCTGCTCCTCCACAGGTCCGAGCTGTGCGTGAGCGCCCACGCGGTTGTAACACATGAGTCCCCATCGCATCGAGAGTTGATTGAGTCCACCAATGACGACGACAGCGGCCCAAATGATAAACATGAGCGTCTGCGAGCCAGCGTCCATGCCCTTGAGTGCAGCTGTGCCGCCATTTTGGATCGACTGGTACGCCACGTCCGAGAGCACGGCACTCGAGTCAATGAGGCGCGAGACGCCGTCGGCAGCGAGCCAGCCGCCCGTAATGGCCGAGAACACGACGTACTTGATGCGGTGGTTCTCGAGCTCGAGCGACTTGGAGCTCGAGCAGCACACGAGCTCAAAGATGATCATAAAGGCAATGACAAACTCCTGCCGAGCGAGTTGGTTGTCCGCGGGGAACACGTTGATGCCATTGTAGGCGTCAATGAGGAGCAGGTACGACGCGACGATGCCGCCCGTGACAAAGATGAGGACGTACGGGCCACAGAGCGTCATGAAGCCGACAATGAGCGCGACCAAGAAACCAGCGCCGCCGCCAGCCGCTAGTGCGACCCATTCGTTCGTGTCGCTGAGCGAGACGATGGCAGTAAACGCCACGACAAATCCCCTATTGTGATTGGATGAAATGATAAAACCACAGTGTCAGGGATAAATTACTTACGAACGGAAAATGCACAAGAGTGATGGTCACATCACCGCCATGCACAATGGACAGAAAACGTACATGGCAAAGGCCGATAGAAATTGAGTCGTCACAAAGAGAGAACGAGCACCAAGAGAGAGAGAAGACCAACCGCCACAAGATAGCGACAAGCCGCCGAGGATACCTACGACCGAAGCAATTACGCCCGCGCCCGTCAGCACCATGCTGATAACGAGCTGCTGCGACTACTCACTCGGGGGCGCAGAGGAGAGTGCGAGCGAGCGAGGGAGGGGGTACCGTCGACAAGAGGTAAGACGTCCGTCCGTCCGTCGAGAAGGAGCGAGCGACAAAGAGCTGCGTGTCCGCGCGGTGGGAAGTGGTGGGGCGTCTTTGGTCTGCTGGTGAAGGAGCACCAAACCAGAAATGAGCTCTCGTACGTGCGCTCGGTTTTGACGGCGCCGAGTGGTTTTTTCTCTGGAAGGCACGAGGGGAGGGGGAGAGAGACGGACGGACGGGCGGCGGGCGGGCGTTTCACTGGCGTGCGGGCTGGCAGGGGATAAAATACCGTCATTTATTTCGAGAGAACGTCCATACTAAATACAAGAGAAACGAGGACGGAGAAAGAGGGGGGGAGGGCGCGCGGGATAGACGGGACAGCTTGAAACTGGCTTCTGAGTGAACGACTCTGCCACCACTTTGTGCGCAACGGAGCGAGAGGGAGAGACGCGCGCGCGATTGACTACGTTAAACCTCGTGGGAGTATGGTCGGATGGTTTGCGACACGCCAGACGGTCGAACGAGCGACAAAACGTAAATGGATTTTCGTCGACTCGAGCGTGAGGCTGGCCAGTCTGTGTACGCGAGGTCGACTCGGCCACGTCCACGACACCACGAAGTGCGGAAGAGACTGCACGCACGTATACGTTTGCTTCGACGAGGTTCGATTCCGATATTGAGGCTCCTGGATCTGATCCTGGTCACCTCAGGCAGCTGCGAGTGTGGGGAGCACCCATGTGACAAGAGGCCAGTGCATAAATGTCATTAACTGATGGTGCGCGCAAAATCTGCTTCAAAGTGAGATGAAGACATGGAGAGATCAGGATCTATCCCATGTCTTTATCTCACTTAGGGGGTTGATTCTAGAAAAGAGGAAGAGAAGTTACTACTTGCCTTGGCAGATATTTATGCACATGTAAACACGCGTCGGTGTTCGCAATCGCAACAGCGCATCGTTCGTTCTCGAGCAACCGACGCGCGACAGCCACGTCCTGTTTTCCTCGAGCACGTGGCGACGATGACGATGGCGACGACGACGACAACGACCGCGAGTCGCGTGGCGCGAGGCGACGACTGCGATTACTTCAATGCGGGAGGCGAGCACAAGGTGCTGAGCGCAGCCAGAAGTGCCAGCCAGTCAATTCGGCTCGGCGACACTACGCCAGTCAATGTCTCCTCTGCCCCGAGCGGCTTGACCGCAAGATACTTCTTACATAGGCCAGTCGGTGCTCGAAAAAAGGCCGAAAAAAGCATGTTCTTGTTCGATTGTTGTATTCGACCCGCGAGTAATCTCGCGCTCCTTCAATCACCGCCTCCTTTATGGCCCTAAATCCAGCAACTAATGACCGCTGCAACGCGCGCACACGTCGTTGTGATGGTCGTCGTCATCGTCGTGGCGATCGTAAGATTTCGTTACACTTGCCAAGTCAAGTCAAAGCCTTTGCGCACTTTTATCAACCTAAACTTCCTCGATCAGTCAGTCAGTCACTCACTCAGTCACTCTATCCGTCACTCGGTCAGTCGTCAGTCGGTCACTCTATCCATCGCGACTGCCAGCAGCGCCAGTGGATTCTCAAAATTTCGCGTGCCAATCGTGACTTTGGCACCGCCCCGTCGCTCGCCACGGTCGCGCTTTCACTGACTCGTTCGCCGTCGTAAATTACGCGTAACTTACCGCGCAGCCGTTTCGCCGTCGCAACGGCCGCCGCCGCCTCGTGCTCGGTGTCCATCACTCTGTATTTTTCCCTTGCCGCAGTCGAAAGGCGCAAGACAGAGACGAGTGAGCGAGCGAGCGAGCAGTCGGTCGACCGATTCCTCATCATCCCCACGCCCTCTCTCTCCCCCCTCATTCCTTCCATCTGATTCATCTGATTCACCACCACCCCCACCACCACCCCTCACTTGCCTTTCGCATACAAACGTCAAGACAAAAGTTTTCACCCTCACCCCCCCGCTCTTCCACCACCATGTCCGTCGGTCGTCGTCGCCCCGCCGCGCTCCTGCTCCCGTTCGCGCTCTTGGTCGCCGCGGCCTCTGGCAAAAACCATTTCAACCAATCCGCAGGCTACGTGATCGAAATCTCCACCGACGGCTGGAGCAACTACGCGGCCAACGGCGGCTGCGTCACGTGCCCCTACACGTGCATCTCGCCCACGGAGAGCTACGACGGCACGAGCATCAACGGCAGCAACGCGACGCAGATCTCGTCGCTCCCGAGCATCTACACGGCCGTGCGGTCCAACGGCTGCTGCTACGCGGCCGACGCGACGACGCAGCCGTCGTGCGCCACGGAAGCCAGCCCCGCCTCGGCCGAGAACTGCGGCTTCCTCTTTGGGCCGACGCTCGAGTGGCGCATTAACAACGCGCTGCGGCCGCTCACGGACAGCCTCACGGCCATTCTCTTCGCGTCGACGGACTGTGAGAACTTTTGGGCCGTGGGCAAGCAGAGCATCCGCTACACGAGCAACACCAAGAGCATCAAAGGCTCGAAAGCCATTCAGAACGGGTGCTACGGCGACCCGAAAGGCACGCCCATGGTCCTCAGTGGCTGCTTGACGAGCTCGCTGGAGTATAGCAAAACCAAGACGTACACGTGGAAGAACCTCGCGGAAAAGTGCGAGGGCCTCGCCGGTCGCTGCGTCGTGACGAACGCCGTGTGGGAGGAACATCTCGAGTGCTGCACGAGTCGCACGGGCATGGCGTCCGACTGGGACACGACGTTCAAGACGTACACGAAGACGCCGACGAAAGCCACGAAGCTCGGGGGGGCCGCGATCACGGCCATTGTCATTGGCGGCGTCGGGCTGCTGATTGGCTTGATCCATTTCGGCGCCAAGGTGCGCGACCGCGCGCGGCAGACGGCGCTCATGCGTGAGCAGGAGGCTACGGACGATTACGAGGAGATCATGACGCCACTCACGGCCGCAGACAAGCAACCCGTGGCACTGCAACGTCCTATTGGCCCAGCCAGCGTGGAGGTTTCGCTTCACGAAGGAGACCAGATTTACCGCAAGAAGGACGATGAGGTGCTTTTTGAAGGCGACATGTACTAGGAAGGAAGCGAGTCGTGGTCGTTTTCGCTTCCGTTTCGGCTGGCACACGTGAGAAGGTGCCGTAGGTGCAGTGGCGAGCGTCCTCACTGGCTTGAAATGCATCTCTATTTTTTGGTTTTGCAACGTGTTGTGGTGGGTTTTGAGGCATCGGGGCTGGTTGTGTGTAGTCTCGATACTCTCGTAGGGGGGTTTACATGTGGCTTAGTTTCTATGAAGTTGCCGAGAGACTTGGCCGTCGTTGAGCTGAGATCGCGTGCAGTCGACTACGGCTTGGTTGATGGTGGGCGTCGATGGAGCGGTTATAGCCACGCTACTTGTGACTGTAGTGAACTGCATTGTCTATTACGGTCTTTAACATAGCGATTCCTCGTACTGCAGAGGACCTGCTGGTTGTGCCGCTACTGCCAGTTGGCTAACTTTGTAGCAAGGCTGACTCTGTAAGGACGGCACGAACACTTTGAGTAGCTAATTCTGATGGCGTGAGGCTCACGCGCTGGTGAATTCAAATTTGCAGCTTTAGTCAGCTCGACGGTTTCTAACCTCGTGAGGTCTCATCTAAGTCCCACTTACTGTGTTCACTATCTATAAGAAGCTTTATTACGCGAGCGTGACAACTTGTTGTCAAGGGACTGAAGGTGGCGCACGTGCATAAGCATGCTATCGCATCTTGCTGGTTAAGGATACCCGAGCACCAAACCTGACACTATTCCGCCAGTAATGACATTCCGTTGATCGTCTGCACGCAGCAACAATCGTCAGACAATCTCATTCAGCGACAACCTACAACGCGCACGCATGTAGCAGCGGCACTATCGTTACATCGAATTTCGTGCGATCGACAGCAATTCTCCGTATTAAAAAGTGATCGATCGATCGCCTGTTCGATCGTCAGTGCTTCGACGTCACGTTTCATTACAGCAAACCTCTACCACTGGAACACAAGGTCGCTACGTTTTCGTCGTTGATTATACTGCACGTCAGTTCAATTCCTAAATGTGACGCGAGATTTGAACGCGTCGTAGCGGCACTTGCCGTACGCCAAGAAGTCAAAGTCGATCGTGGACTGGGCCGCCTGGATGTAGCCCCAGAGGGCCCAGAACAGATGTGACGCCAGCGAGTACGTGTTGGCTTCGTGTCGTAGCTGCTCCACCTCTTCCTCGCTCACGTCGTTCTCGTCGCCGTCTTTGCCAGCCAAATACGCGCGACAAAACGTGCGCTGTTCGTCGACCGTCGGGTACTTGCTAAAGTCGCCCAGATGTGCATTTACCGTCTTGTGGTAGTCAAATGCCCACTCGCAAAAGTGGTTGCCCAAGTCGTACCCGCGCGGGTTGTAGCTCGTGTACTCAAAGTCAATGAGCACGGCCTCCCCCGCCTCATTCTTCATAATGTTGCCATACTGCAAGTCATTGTGACTCAAGACAATCGGAGACGGGACGCGCATCACCAGCTGTTCCAGCTCGTCCACGTCTTGCGCCATCTGGGTTAGGTCCATCACGTCATCAAACTTGTCGCACGTGCACTTGACCCGGGCAACCTCCAGTAGTTTCCGGATACTAGAGAGATACGTAGGGGTGCGGTTAATCTCGATCGAAAGTTCGTGGAACACGCGCAGCTGCTTCGCAATGATGCGCGACTCGTTCACGTGTCGCATGCGCCTGTTTGTGTACGTCGAGCCAGTAATGAGCTTCTCGACTCGACCATTGGCAAACTGTCCTAGCAGCTCAATCCCAATGTCCTGCTTGCTCAAGAGCTGGAACAGCTGCGTCTCTTCCACGCGAGAAAAGAACGACTCGGTGCCTTCGCCGTACACACGCACGAGCACGTCGCTGTGCTCGCCGTCGGGCTTGTGCACCGCAAAAATGAGGTTCGTCATTGCGCCGCCCAGATGTTCAACGTCGACCGTGTCGGGCGTGACGTCGTGCCAGCTCGGGACGCACTTGATAAGCGTCGAGACGATCGAGGCCTGGAGCTTGAGCTTGGCCTTGTCAACCACGGCGACGGCAGCAAGGTATGGCGCAACCACGACGACAGCGTCCGTGACGTTATCGGCATTGCCCTTGTCCTTGCACTCGTCGGCATCGCGTTGATCCGTCATGATACTAAAGTCCCAAAATTGTCGTTCTGCGCGTGAGACGGCAAAAGATAAAGTAACGACACACTGGGCGGTCGAACGAACGGCCTGTTTTTCTTCTCCATTTATCACATGAGATAGTGTCTTTTCGGGCTTTAATCGCTCGGACTTTTTGATAAATAAGCGCTGTCTGAGCGTAATTTGTTGCTGGTAATCACGCTTATCGATACGGAATCGATCTCACGAGCAACAAGAACTGGTGGCTGCGGCAATGGCAGGAATCGTCGCACCGTATCATGTCGAATAGTTCGCGCTGAGTAGTTTCACGTCCGTTACTGATTTGTATGCTCCCACAGGCAACTTGTAGGCAACTGTACCGCGATCGATTGTAGCGAAGACAGACGCTGTCTCGAAAAGCTCTTGGTCGCACAGCCCTGTTCCACTCTTTCTCCGCAGCTAAGATGACCATGATGAGGAGGAAGAATGCGACGTTTGCGGGTATCGGCGATGGTCCATGAGCTTGGACTTGCTCATTAAAAAAGAGATTGAACGACACTTTGCAGTGCCAAAACTCAACCATTCGATAGACCCATCCAGCTTCGTCTATGATGAGCCTTAGCATCTATGCCATTATGTGAGTATCTAGCATCGCAAGCGTATATCCGCTGCAACCGCTTGCATGCTGCCTGCATCGTACCTCGTCTGTGTGGTCGGGCTTCCTGCAGAAATATCTGTCTACCCTCCTTCCTGAAGCTTTGCACTGCGACCGTAGAAAAACAGTGAATCAAAGAACTGCCAACGCTGGTCATTTGCAGATACGTAGGTGTGCGCTGGGATTAAACTTCCTACGACGTGCTGTATCCCTTCTTTAGTACGTGAAAGGCAAAGCAAACAGTAGCATGCTCACTTCCTTTCGATTACACGGTTCATATTTCTTGGTATTCAGTGGTGTGTATTTATTTTCTTTGCTCGTACGCGCTGATCACGCAAGGTCTAGAATCCTATGGTTCTACTAGTGTGATACTCGTGCACGTACTACACACGTCGGAAGACTTCGTTGCGGACCGATTTGGATGGCGTGACTATTCCATCCATCACAATGTTTGAGTCGCTCCAGCTCGAGCGTTTATAACGAGACCATGCATAGGCGACACAGGCGATCACGCCTGTTAGTACCATGCCAGCGACAACTACCACAACAATCGCAGTGTCATCACGATCGGTAGCTGCTGCTGTGCCTTCTTCAGTATCGATACTAAATGACTTGACATTGTCACTAGCGTTCCAGCTGCATCCCCAGACGCCCGAGCCAGCTTTCTGGCATACGCTGTCAATAGGAGCCATACACTGGCCATTTAAGTAGCTTGGGAGGTTGACAAGACAATCGCTGACTGCAACGTCGCCTTGCACGGGACATCGGTCGCCTGCGGGCTGGTCGCCGTCACCACTACAAATTGTACCGGAAATGCAGAAAGTGGCATCACCTGCGATGCTTATAGGCGTGCAGTCGTTCCCTGCATTCTCTGAAGTGAGACCCACGCTGTCGCCTTCCGTACTCGCTCCTGACTTACTATGTGCTGTCGTGTCGTCTCCGTACGATATCGTACGTGTATACCCTTTGTCGGAACTCGAGGCACTTGTGTCAGTGTTTACAGCTGCGACCTCCCGTACATCGTCCTCCCGCACACACCTCCAGCTCGCGTCGTCGGCTTTGATACAGATGGCATCACTTGTGGCCACACACGCACCGTTGCGGTAGCTCTTCATAGTATCCAAACAGTTGGCAACAGCGATGGCATCTTTCAATGGGCAATTGTACCCCTTTGGCTTTTCACCGCTGCCACCGCAGACACTACCTTTGACGCGGTATATAGCGTCACCATCGACACTGACATTCGTGTAGTCCATGCTACGAATCTCAGGCTTAGAGCCGCGAATGTCGACATCAAAGTTGATCAACAAGTTGCCACCAAGAACGTTCATCGGATCGTTGCTGTACGTCGCTTGCTGGTTCATGACTCTGATTAGTCGCGGTTATGTAGGTGCTGCAAAGTGTCGACTTGGGTGTATCCTGGCAAAAGATAAGATGAGGCATGTAGAAGTTCGAGGTAGTGCATATCCACTTGGGTGTGACGGTTCCGCCGTCCGTCGCGGTAAACGTCGCCATGAGATTATATGGCACTTCTACCAGCTAAAAGAGTTCCAAGAAAGCCAACGTCGCATTTACTTGTCCCCCTATTACATCACCACATCGCACACACATTGAAGCTAGTAAACGGTTGACGGTATATTAGAGTCGCACAAGTTGCAGGATAGTGGTCGCACAAGTTGCAGGATAGCGGTCGCGAGTCAGCTTACGACGGCACGATGCACCATCTATTTGTGGCAGATCCATGAAATAAGTGCAGAAGTGTGTTTAAATAGTGGCTGATCGATGCTGAAACGAAAGCAGCAGTAATTCAGTACTCTAATCAGATTGGATACGTTTGGTCTTTACCGTGGTTTGCTAGAGTAGAAACATACCTTCTTCAGATACCATATACTCGCCACCGCTTTATAAAGCTCAGTAGTCTGCGACATCAAGCGAAGAGCTAGTAAAGAGACGGGAAGTGTACCCAGTCGAATGACTTCGTGTAGATGCATCTTCATCTGCAACTGATCTCTTACTTGTGCATGATTTAGCATAGCATGCCCTTGATAAATTTCTGAAGTGGAGACACCACGTTGCATGACTATTGTGATCCATCTGAGGAATGTGCTGTATGACTTTCGTCCACCTGTCAAACTACATCACTTGATCTGTCGCAGTCGTCCTCACTAGTAATCGACTCTTTGTACGCCGTGCTTTCATCAATAGCATTGATCCACTTCATCATGTCTAGAAGGTCTGATCTCCAAAGCCTAAGGCTTCGATTCTTCTAGCATGGTATGGGTGAAGACGCGACCGTCAAAAACTTGTGATACGACCAGCGATACCACAAAAGATGCGAGAGTTGCCTGAATCTGCAACTGCATCATTGCGAGCTCGAAGGATGGAGCTATCAGTGAGTGTGCGCAAGGTTGAATACCGAACTTTTAAATCCTACTTATCTGTGTGTGTGTCGGTAAAGAACGTGGTTAGTTGTACCATACACGTGCTACGTGCGATCTAGCCTGTCCCCCTCAAAGGTATCGGTATATCCGAAGTCACTCTTTAGCTAGATCACTATTTTGACGCAAGAATATGATATTGGCATAAAATCGATCAAAGGTGAATATGATCATATTAGCAAATGCTGAACGCCCATACGCATAGGCCGGTCGCGTTGTCCCGGTCAACTGTACTCGGTAAATACAGACCTCAACAGCATCATGCTCCTTCTACAGTAACTGCTGTTGCATTTTGTTTTGCGACTTGATTAAGTTCTTCGAACTGGATTACTTTTATCAAAAGGCGAGTTCCAGAGCTTGCTCCTCTATCTTTATAGATGCAAGCGTTTATTGTACATCGGGCTGCCGATCTCGGATCACGACTGAAGCATACAGTATCACACTAAAAAGCACACGTCTTCCTCTTTGCCGGCTTAAGACTGCCGCGAGGGCTGATGAACAAGTCATATCCAACGTGCGCTTTTACGCGCATCAACCAAATGTTCTGAGACAGCCGCTGTCTACTGTGGCGATTCATCATTAGTGGCGCTTCTGTGGCATGTGACCACTGAGCGCCCCAGGGGCCACTCCAATATCAGTGGCTGCCCTTTCAGCTAGCTCTTCAAGTATCCGAACAGACACTGACAACGGATACCAATTGAACGCAAGCCGGTAGCGTTGGCCATGTGACAAAGGTGTCCATCAAGACGGAGCCATAAAAAAACCCGTTATCACTTCGAGTCGGAATGACTAAATACAGACAATGGCATACCTGTGTTCCGGCGTAGACATCGATATTGTGTATGATGAGCTAGATTCTGTATGTCGAGGGTGAAACAAGGGGGTGCATACGGTAGGCCATCTGATGCGTTCCCAAACTACGTCGATTATCAATATTCTAGAGCCCAAAACTGGCGGAGGAGCACATTCATGTATCCTTGTGAGGAGATCACGACACTGAACTCCAAACGATCTTGAGACGGTACTAGACCACTTCACGCGATTGAGTTTCGAGTTTCTGTAAGGCGATATGAAACACACCATCAAAATGAGGATCCTGCTTTTTGCGGCAGAAAGCTTGACACGAGTATGAGGTCCGCGTCTACCCTCACTGCCATGAAGTATAATGTGCACCTCAAATGCTATCGAGAAACGCGTATCAGCACATGTTTGGTAAAAGACGAATCATCCGTACAAGAGGAAAGGGTCCTAGAAATTCGCACGATGCAAGGAACACGCCAACCCATCCAAGGATGAACAAAGTTTTGTACTCAAGCGGGACAGGAAAAGTCAGACGTGTCAGTGTAAAGTAGAGACAGTGAGGTCTTCGCGCTGATCCAATGATCTGGCATCAATTCTATACGACAGTAAGTCAAGAAACGTTTGTGTTTCGTCATGCAGTTCTTGACGCTTGTATGATGTCAATAGAGTCAGTAGTCCAGCCACAATGCCGAATGCATGTCCTCATCTCACAAGCGCGTTTCCGCTTTTAAGAAGCTGTTCGAGTTCAGAGCGTTCTTACAATCCAATGATGAGCAGCAGAAGAGGTTTAAATTACTCGCAGCTAGCTTCCAGCTCATGCACGTATGAAAGCAGGTTCGTGTGTTTTCCAGGTGAAACGCTATGCGAAGCGGTATATGAGTTTAGGAGAGCTCAACCACGCATTGTAACAGCTGAAGGACCTGACGAGAAGCCACATACTTGCAGTCAAATGAAAACGTACTGAATAAGCCGTTTATCGTCGTTGCGATCGCAACAAGAGATGGAATTCGCTGCTGGATTGTCGTACTTACCAACAGATAATCTTGCATTTCGTGAGTTAAAATGTCTTCGCGACGTGCTACGTGTACGATCGTCCCGACTTGATCGGGAACGAAAGGTGTACAGAGAACAAGAGTAAAATGCGTGTAAGACCCTTGTTCATGTAGCAATTGGTAAGCACTTCGCTACATTCACGTGGCGTACAGTCTGCCTAAGACCTTACGGAAACATAACGCCGTCGCCACGCTGACGCTGACGAAGCAAGGCATATCAGTTGATCTCCGTACAGTTGTAAGGTCGCAACGGACGTCAGTAGCCAGAATCATGATGATAACTCAATGAGTACCTCGTTTTGGTTGACAGCGAGTCGTGTCGATAGATTAAGCGTGAGGTCTCCTAAGCTGCTCAAATGTTCCAGGTGAATTGCCGTCATCGACCTGTTTGAACATGCTATGATCAACCTACTTCGCCGTAAGCAAGAAGATGACGTATACTGAACGAAAATACCGTGCGTGCAGCGAGTACCGATCAGCTTTCGCTCGAGGTATCTGTAGATCGCACGGTATCTCAACTAATGATGCACTAGACCGTGACAGTCCTATACACAGAAGTCAAGCTCATGCATTGCGAGCATCGGGTACCTCAAACCAGAATATCGTGCTCTCGAACCTTGGGTGCTACTTGATCTTCTCTGCAAAGACCGTGATCTCATGATATCCTTCCTTTACCTAGTGCTAGGCAATCAACAGGCCTGTCAGCAGTGGAGACAGAGCATACTTACCTGCATCCGATCCACAGACCAGCCAATATGCTGTAAAAAGATCTGGAGGGAGTATGCTTTGCTTACCACATTGATGTCCTTTTTCGATTAATAGACGACCAAAATGTTTGCTGCGTTGCGCAGCTCCACCAGTTATGTGTCCGCGTAAACACTGTATCAACTATACCGCATCTACCATTTTCTTATCAGGTGCATCTTAGTTAAAGTGAAACGCCATAGTAGTACGAAGACAGAAAGCCGCGTACAGTCGCACCAGGCAATATAGAGCGAAGACTTGCTGCCATCAGCAAGTGGGAGTTTTTGGACCATAAAGCTTCACCATTGAGAAGACGCAAAGCAATCCAGGTGTAGTGGAAACCGGAATGCCAAATAGGTTTCCGGTGCAAGAACTATCAGCCCTATCATCCTGGACACGCGACATACTCTTCCTCGTAATCTATCAGCAGTTCTTAGTTTACGACAGGTCTTTTACCTGCTTTACCGCCAAGTTCTTGATGTTATTTTTCAGTGCAGACCAAATGTGGTGCGTGCACAGCATTAGCTGCATCATTCGTGCTACCATCACGGAGGCCAATAAATTTGTTCTATCAACAAGGCAAATGCTAAATGGCTGGGCTTTTTTTTTATTCGGCTGGGTCATTTAAAATCTTCAGGAATATCTTATAGTAACTCAGAAGCATGCCTAACCTTGTCGATCCTATCTATTCATTTTACTGGCACTAAGGTTGGGGAGCGAGCTCTTGAGCTCGCCCTTCGATACAAGTCATCCATTTTGGAGAACTTTTATCAAGTCGCAAAACAAAATGCAACAGCAGTTACTGTAGAAGGAGTATGATGCTGTTGAGGTCTGTATTTACCGAGTACAGTTGGCCAGGACAACGCGACTGGCCTTTGCGTGTGAGCGGTTAGCATTTGCTAATGTGGTCATATTCACCTATGAACGATTTTATGCCAATCATATTCGCGCGTCAAAAAAGTGATCTAGCCAAAGAGTGACTTCGGATACACCGATACCCATGAGGGGGACAGGCTAGATCGCACGTAGCACACGTAAGGTACACCTAACCGCGTTATTCACAGGCACACACGATTAAGTAGGATTTAAAAGTTTGGCATTCAACCTTGCGCACACTCACTAATAGCTTCACCCATCGGGCTCGCAATAAATCGCATGTCCATACAAAGCTCATGATGACGAGAGTGTGCAAAACAGGCTAGTACCCCTTTCAGCTGTTTCTTTTTCTGTTTGCGTTACAACCCAAAAAAATATGTCGCTTTTTGACGCCATCGTAGCTACACAGTCAATAGGTCCACCAAACATGATGCGTCGGCGCGATCGCGAACGCTTATGGTGGGGCAGTATGTCTCGCCTAGAAGTATCGTCAGTGGCGCGCTCTTACATAAGTTTAGCTACAATTGGTATCACCGAGAAATTTACACCGTTTCGATTGCCGCAGTTGCCTGCTAGCAGGCATTCGCATAGTAAGATTGGACGCGGATGTTAGTGTTCGTAGTTGAGTCGTAATATACAAATTGAGATATCTTGCTTCAGTATCGCTTGAGTTCATCCAAGCTGATTTCTGCAGCCGAAGCTGACCGTAGCTACTAAATGTACACGGTCTAGGTCGATAGCCGCTATTTCAACTGCTCTGTCATGCCACTTAAAGCGTGATCGTAACCATCGTAAAGCGGCTGACCAACACTACAGAAGTGCAATTCCAGTAAATCGTACATCGTAGCGGGAGCACGGTAACTATCACGAGAAACCCCTTAGGCGAAGCGATCACTAAAAGTCATTTTGAAAATTCGGTAGATTGAGAGATTCAACAACATGCGTTTCAAAACGAAGCCTTTTTTATCCTAGACCTAAAAGAGCACGACCCGAGTAAAAATGAACCCAAATGTTTTACATCAGCCTTTTTCTAGGCATGGAGTAACACAGTCGTCGTTTAAAACGCACAATTACAGAATTTCGTCAAATTACCAGTTTTTCGAAAATTGACTTTTGGTGACTATATCGCCAAAAGGGGTTTCTCGTGATCGCGCTCGCGTTTCAGTTACGATGAACGATTTGTTAGAAAGTGCATTTCTTAAGTGTTGGATAGTCGCTTCACACTGGATACGAACGTGTTTGGACAAACATGCCAAAGCAGCAGAAATACCTGATAACGACTGAGAGCCTGTTGGTTAATCAGCTTCTATCAGCTATGGCTGCAGCAACTAGCTAGGACGGACATAAGCGACAGGAGGCAAGACAGATTGCTTAGGCCCAACAAAAAATGGTAGAATCCTCCTACCACAGCACTGTTAACTTCTTCCCTTGGCTAGCAATATGGCTATCGAACATAATTACCTCCTAGTTGGGGAAGTTGTGGTGCTCTAGTCTGTGCGCTCACTCCCAAAACTAGCGGGGGCTCTTCGCGCGATCGAAAACACCAAAGTTTGCACATTTCTGACTCAAATATGATCACTAATCCCCGCGTCCAATTTGTGTGCGAATTTGCTGCTTGCAGAGACAGCTACGGCAATTTAAACAATGTTGAAAATGTTTCTGTGATAGCGATCGCAGTGATAAAGTTACGTAAAAGCGCGCCACTACAATAGTTCCAGGCGAGACATACTGCCCTACCAAAGGCGTTCCAATCGCGGCGTGGGTCATGTTTGGTGGACCTATTGACTGCAGCTATGATGGCGTCAAAAAGCGACAATTTTTCAGAATGGAACGCTAGTAGCAGAAGGAAGGACTGGAGCAGAGTATTACTTTTTCCGCACCGATGTCGTCATTATATGCTTTGGGAGAAAACTTGAGTAAATAGCGAAGTTAAATTGAGTAAGTGGGATCTACTGTTGACGACATCCGACGTCTTCTGAGTTACGTTTGAGTTACGTTTGAGTCACTTCTGAGAATTTTTCAGAATGACCTAGCCGAATATAACGCGAACCCAGCCGTTAAGCTTTTGACTCAAACAACGGTGTTTGCACAGAAAGCCATTTTGCATGCCTCAAAATTGACCGCTTTTGCTTAGTCTGAAATCCCCAAAACTACTCGTAGTGGTCTAATTGCTCTAATTTCATCTACTAACACTGGACGCGGGGACTGTTGCCCAACAGCTGGCCGCGTGCATTACCAAAACATCCCTCGTGCGTTTGTACTCTGTTACGAAGTACGAAGCCAGGAAAGTCCCGACCAGGATACAATCGATGCGTGATGTATTGTAAAAGTAATGGGCGTACTTGCTCCACATGTGTCGACACTTACCCTCAAATTTGGAGAGCTGCGGTACTATTGACGAATAGTAGCGAGGGCGAAAGGTGAAGCTATTAGCGACTGTGCATAAGGTGAACGCCGAACTTGAGGTAGGGAAGCAATCTCCAGAGCTCGCTTTTTGATGTAGTACTTCAGTTCGGAGATGTGAATGAAGTCGCAAAACAAAATGCAACAGCAGTTACTGTAGAAAGAGCATGATGCTTACAATGAATGTATTTACCGAGTACAGTTGGCCAGGAAAACGCGACCGGCCTTTGCGTTTGAGCGTTCAGCATTTGCTGATGCGATCATATTCACCTCTGATCAATTTGAAGTCAATCACGTGCGTCACAATAGTGACCTAGCCAAAGAGTGACTTTGAATGTACCTACAACTAGGCCCTGGCAAGGTTTGGCAAAAGGTTACCGGGTTACAGTTATAGTTATTGTTCTACCTTTGCCTTACCACTACCTTTACCCGGATGGTCTGTGGATACCTTTACATTTACCTTACTACACCCTTTTACCTGGTTAACTATCTGGTAAACAAGCGTTTGAATGACAGATGGAATTGGTGGAGTTGCAGGTACATTGATGATATGACATCGCCGGCCTATCAAAATAGATTGGTTGGGTGAAATGGCGTAGGATCAAATTTGTGCTCCAGGTGGTAAAGCGAGCACAATGCACTCTTGCTGTAATTTATCAGAGCTCACATTGGGCCTCAAATGCCATATCGGCGAATTGGTTGCGCAGCAACTGTACAACCTCATCGTCAAGGATATCCTCGTCCCAATGATTCTGTTACATCTTGACCTGCGCGACGACGGACTGCATGTCATTGGCACAAGACTGTACAAGCACAACTGGCACTTGCGCTCGATTCGCCGGCACTTTGAGAATACTGGCACCCATCCATGAGCGCATGAACCTTCTACAAATATGTAGATATACTACAATAAGAAGAGGCAATATTTACGTGCATTTAACGAATTGACCAGCCATAATTTACAATCACACATGATGTAAAACATGGGTGATTTGTTGTTGGCGCCGCGGGTCCCGACGTGGGCGTCGTTGTCGACGCCACTGCCGTTGAACCCTCCTTGAATATATAGGCTCTGGAATTCAGTCTCACGCAACGACGTATGCTTGTGTGTCTGCTAAAAGGCTTTGATCGATTTGAGGGCTCCGTGGCTATGGGACAACTCAAAACTCGCGAAATGCTGCACAGAAGCCATCAGGTCAGACTTGATACGTTGTTGACCTTGTAATTACCGGATAATCGGGTAATGAGATCGGCTTCGATATTACTCTCCCCGCTGCCTTACCCGTCGGCAACCCTTTACCACTGATTTTTTTCGTTTTACCGGGTAACGAAGGGTGTCTTACCTTACCTCGCCGAGGCCTACCTACAAACCTATGAGGAGGTGACAGGCTAGATTGCACTTTGTACGTGTAAGGCACACCTAGTCGCGTTATCTACAAACAAACAGACAGACAGACACGAATGAGTATGATCTAGAAAGCTCGGTATTCATCTTGCGCACACTCACTGATTGCTTGACCCCCCGGGCTCGCAATTGTAACTGTCTACATTGTACCTCTTAGGTTCTCTAATAAATGGACGCGTCTGTACGCTTTTTCGATGTGTAAAGAACGGAAGTGGCTGAGAGATCGTCGAACATCATTATGCAATACAGCATCAATGAAAATTCGTTCACATTCGTCACGCTAAAGAGGGGTCCCGAGACATCTTGGCAGTACACGGCCAAACCATGGCGAGATGTAGAGATTTGTCGTATATTAAGTATACTTGTAAGAAAACGTGTCTTCAAAGAAAGACACTGCAAGAGTTTTTCTTCAATGCGTGACCCGATTTGCGCGCGAATTTGTACATGTTTCTTTTCTCATCACCGAGAGCATCCCAGGCATGACCAGCCGCAGCAATGCTAGCAACTCAACAAATCTACGAGCTGGAACTTGACATTGGTTGCAATCCCATGTATCCATAAGCTAATGAAAATGGCTAGCGCAATAAAGCTTCGAGTGATACAGATAGCTAGAACTGTGTCGCATGCGACTCAGTGTGAGATTGAATCGAAGTCACTCTTTAGACTGTTACCTTGATGGATAATGTGCAGCGTACATCATTTCTCGCTGTTGTTTTGATGGATGAGTAATGCTTTACATTTCGTTTAGCCATCATTCGTTTACAAGCTGCAGTAGTCAATATTTGATCCGGATCTACTTCGTTAGCTGTGGTGACGTCAGTGACGTGTGCGTAAGGATATTACTCACATTCGACTTGTAACGTCAAAACGGTAGCGCTGCGGCACGTTTCCACGAGTGCATATAACGGCAAAGTAGCGTTAGCGACCGCATGAATCTTTGCTGAAGCAGTTTTGGCCAAGGAGAACGTATGGCAAAACTAATGTGTAAATGTCAGCTGAAATTCGGACTGTGACGAGGAGTTGACAACAACTACCTGACAAGGATTAGATCGATCTGCTTACAATACAAAGGAGGTCGAAGTCAGCCGTGGCATGACTGTTCCTGGTTGAAACTGCTTAGATCGGGGAACCAGTTTCCCATGATTGGTCGGCACGCAATAGTCCGTACACTACTCTTTTTCCCGTCAAGATCAAAGAATCAATGCAAATTGACTATTGACAAGAACGGAGCGCACCAGTAGCCTTATCGCTGACGTGGTGATGAACCAAATAAAAGGAATACAAACGGAGCTACATTGCACTCAGGCATCGAACAGAGACCATCGCTACTCCGGCTTTACCTATCCGTTATAGACGATAAAGTATGACGCCAGCCCTCGCTTCCATAGTGCGCAGTTGACAGTAGTTGGATAAGTACTGCCTCAAACTCGCTATACGGCGTCTTGACGGTAACGAACGTCGGATGGTACGTGAGCTGCGACACATCCGCCGACTTGTACAGCACGAATCCAGCGGTAGCTACAACGCACACAGCTTCGATTACAACAGCCACGAGGACGCCGGTTGACGAGCCGTCAGATTGACACGAAAGTCTGTGCGGTCATGACGGGTTCTTTAGACGATGGAGTTGTAGGGCTACTGTTATCAACTGTGAAGAGGACGCAGCCCCAAGCGCCGGTCTTGAGGGGTTGGCAGGTACTGTTTACAGGTAGCACACACGTGCCTTCCTTGTAACTAGCCATTGAGGCGTCACAATGGGATGCAGCCTTCTCTCCCATTGCGGGACAAGAGCCCGTAGGCTGGGGGCCAAACCCACTGCAAATAGGTCCTTGAATGCGATAGGTCGCGTCGCGTTCGACACCCACCAGGTAGTAATCTGCATGCGGAGGAACTGCAGAGGTGTACGTCGGTGGAGTGGTGGCGTCATTCATGTCGGAGCGCTCCCGAGTGTCGTCAGGAGGGACTTGAATGAATTGATTGGTCCACCGACTTCTGGAAGGACCGAGTAGAATCTTGCTAGCTTCCTCATCAGAAGGGTTGTTGTCATCCGTTTCGTGGTGCGTCACAAGGTCGTTCGTGTCGATTGCAATGGTATTTGAGTGCTCCATAGTAGTAGGAAAACCAACTGCACTGTAGCTCGAGATGTCGTCGGTACCGGCTGCCAAAAGCGCCATGGCCATCGTAATAGCTGGTGTCTTCATGTTCGTAATGCAAAAGATGTCAATTGAACAGTGCGTACGCGATGGAATATTTTAAAATGAACTTAGAGCTCCGAGGAAGCATGGCAAGGACCAGGGCAAGTGGATTCTGCGCAAGGTCAGTCAGCAATCGCCTTGTTCATTTGCAAAAATGCAGAAGGATGCGATAGGTACAGTAGATGGGGGGGAGAGAACTCTCGGACCGGTCAGTCATGTTCTTTATTGAACAGATCACTTGCTTACCTTGTACGTCTCGAAACATACTTGTACAATAAATCTATTTGCTTAAAACAAATGATAACCACATCTGCAACACAAAAAGAACTATTCTTTAGCGCTGTAAACATCAGCAGCACAAAAAGAACTATTCTTTAGCGCTGTCAACATCAGCTGCTGCATCCGCATTCTCCACTACCCTGTCTTCTCAGAAGCGACGTTACAGTTTACAACCAGCTCAACTCGAGCGAGAAAGCGGCTTACACGAGATCGTCAATCTGCTGAGTGGATATTTCGGTGACGTTTCACTACCCATAATCAGCAGCCAGCTGCGACCACGGACGGATACGAGACTCTCCGGGGAGCCAAGAAGCTGGCCCCCTTTTTCTTGAGCGGCAAGCCCCCCAAAGTGGGGCCGTGGTAAAAAGGAGGAGGGCTTCTCCTCGCTGCGTGCGCTACCGGAGGCAGCGCAGCGAGTGGCACGATCACTTGCTTCCCTTGTATGCCTCAAAACACACTTGTACAATAAATCGATTTGCTTAAAACAAATGATAACCACATCTGCAGCACAAAAAGAACTATTCTTTAGCGCTGTAAACATCAGCTGCTGCATCCGCATACTCCACTGCCCTGTCTTCTCAGAAGCGACGTTACAGTTTACAACCAGCTCAAATCGAGAGAGAAAGCGGCTTACACGAGATCGTCAATCTGCTGAGTGGATACTTCGGTGACGTTTCACTTCCCATGATCAGCAGCCAGCTGCGACCACGGACGGATATGAGACCCTCTGGGGAGCCGGAAAACTGTCACCCTTTTTACTTGGGCGGCAAGTCCCCCAAAGTGGGGCCAAGGTAAAAAGGGCGAGGGCTTCTCCTCGCTGCGTGCGACTCGCTGCGCTGCCTCCCGAAGCGCACGCAGCGGTAAGCACGATATTCTAGTGCAAGGCACGTCGACGATGGACCGACTCAACCTCCAAAACGAATACGTTCCTACCTTTCACAGTCTGCCTACAACTCGCCCACACGTTCGCTGAGCACGAGCCCACGAGGAGAACATTCCCAAGTTTGTAATGACTCTTGTTGTAACGGGGAAACAACAGGGGTCATCACGGTCCTTTGTAATGACCAAATATATTGGTGTGCTACACACAGAAAGAGATTAGTATCACTGGTAAGCCGTGCTTTTGCATCATATACGCTAAGCGATACTACCGTACCCTATCGGTTATGGTTAAAGGATATCTATCGGAATAGGGTCTTCATAGAGACGACTTAGTTCTGGAGTGGTACTCAAGAAGAACTGCGATGAGGACTGTTCAATTAGGTAGCATCCATTATGTTAACGACGTAAGTTAAAGTTATTATTGCTACAAAGCAGTAAATATATTCAGTTCCATCTTTGATCAGTTTCAGACACGTGTCTTTCTAAGACGTCTCTGGTCATAAGAGTTGAGTGTCTGAGTTAAGGCTAAGTGTAACGGGGTGAATCGTTACATAACAATTTATAAGAAATTGTTAATAGAATATAACTATAAGAGTTATACTCTCAGAATATTATCATAAGGACAAATATTCTGTAGCACTTACGAGTAGTTCCTAATTGGTTGATATAGGCCATTATATCAACCAACGAAGACGCGCCACGACAGACGCACGCAATGAGTGGTGAGCAGATAACTGATTTACACATTTGTATTTAGACATAGTTAGATGAAGATAAATAGTGATTTATTGCAGACATTAACTATACTAAATACAGTTCTACTTTTTACTTTCAACAAGTACTCGCTTCTTCTTACCGTCTTCCTCTGCTCGTACGAGTGTACGTGAAGTTCCGAGGCACCGCCTTATTCTGTCATCAGAATAAGTAGCTTGTACTGTCATCAGTGTACTCTTGGGCATTAGTGCTGTCTGATTACTTGGAGTCGTAGTCCTCCAGACCAAGGACTAGAAGATTACGAGCTTGTACGTACGCTTAGAGTTAAGTTTCAATAAGTCTGCGAGACTTGAGATCCTTTAAGTTAATGCTTGCGTAGTTTGATTTGCTAAGGGACTCAACGAGTGTAGAAGTCTTCCTCTGGCTACGGAGTTAGGGTAGTTCCGCTACACCGACCATCATTCTATGTATGATGTACAATCACGCTATCAGTACGACACATCCTACTAATTTTGGTCCTTTCTCACTGGGAGGGCGTGGGCCATGTAATAAGCTCACAATATGTCAATCAACATGATGCACTTGAAAGTGGTAAGCATGAAAACTGTGCTGGCGTTTGTTTCTATCATAGATTGCATTGGATTCAAATGAGCTGATCGAACTATGCAACGCAAGCCAAGAGATTTTGAGATTGCTCGCGTGTCAACCACACTGTTTGTAACGGCGTGAATCGTTACATAACAATTTATAAGAAATTGTTAATAGAATATAACTACAAGAGTTATATTCTCAGAATATTGTCATAAGGACAAATATTCTGTAGCACTTACGAGTGGTTCCTAATTGGTTGATATAGGCCATTATATCAACCAACGAAGACGCGCCACGACAGACGCACGCAATGAGTGGTGAGCAGATAATTGATTTACACATTTGTATTTAGACATAGTTAGATGAAGATAAATAGTGATTTATTTACAGACATTAGCTATGCTAAATACAGTTCTACTTTTTACTTTAACCAAGTACTCGCTTCTTCTTACCGTCTTCCTCTGCACGTACGAGTGTACGTGAAGTTCCGAGGCACCGCCTTATTCTGTCATCAGAATAAGTAGCTTGTACTGTCACCATTACAAGCTTCAGGGTGCCCCGTTACACCTGGTAGCACTTCGTAGTCCGTCCAAATACCACGTTCACATCTAACATGAATATGTTAGATGATGAAGATGACCAAAGCTTTCACGCTACGCGTGACAGCTACTCCCATTTGAGCGATGTCGAATGGGATGCGGTTGAACGGATGGGTTCGACCATGGGCATCCATGCTGTTAGCGTCATGCTAGAGGCTCTCAATAGAGATGCCCAACATGCTACTATCGCCAAGTTCATTCAAAATGAACTTGACGCAGAACGCGAGAAAGTAGCCTTGCTTCACCAACAAGGTTCTCAACAAGCAGAGTTGTTAAGAGAACAGGGTGCTCAACAGTTTGAACTGTTGAGACAGCAGCAGGCTGCTGCTGGTGGGTCGATGCACTCGCGTCGACCCGAGGCCTTGAAGATCGACATCTCCAAGCATAGGGGGGTCGAAGAGGACTCTCTCTTGAGGTGGTTCGTCGAATTGGATGACGCCATAAGGGCGCGTCGCATCGACGACGGGGATATGCAAGTTGCATTTGCCCAGTCAAATCTGGCAGGACGTGCCAAGACTTGGGCACTGGGGCTCAAGTTGCACGACCCATATGCGTTTGGGTCGTTGGAAGTCTTCAAGTCGCGGCTCAGACAAACGTTTGAACCGCCTAGAGCTGAGTTCAGAGCTCGAACTGAACTCTTGAAGCTCAAACAAGGTAAGCGTGATGTGCACGCTTACGCGCAACATATACGACATCTCACGAGTTGTATAAGTTCCAACCCGGTTGATGAACACACGTTGGTTTCGGTGTTCATGCAGGGTCTTGCGGATGGTCCCGTCAAGACTCACCTGTTCCGACTTGAACTAGATTCACTAGAACAAGCCATTTCCATTGCGGAACAGGAAGACTTCAGTCTGAGACAGGCTCGCGCCAGCTCGACATCATATCGTCAACCGAGACGATATGACAACGGAGGTCCAGAGCCGATGGAACTCTGTTATGTAGAGAGCGAGAAGGCTCGCTCTACAGACTACAAGAAGTTGCAGAAATGCAACAGATGTCAGAAGACAGGACACTACGCTTACGAGTGTAGTGCCCCTCGTCCAGTGTCTCGCAACACTGGGCGTAGTGACCGTCCACCCATGAGAAAGGGGCAGGGACGAGGGTCCGCAGTTGGTGCAAAGACGCAACAACGGGATGGACCGTCAAAAAACGGACAGGATCAGTAGGTGCGGAGCACCCTACTGGTCCAGCAACGTCAAGAGAATTTGTAGGCCTCTTGATGAAGGTTGCTCCCAACACACAAACGTTGTGCGTTGCTGCTCTAGGTAATGAGATCTCACTCATTACCTTGAAACTCGAAGTGACGAATAAGTTGTCCCTTCGAGCTCTAGTCGATTGTGGGGCGTCCAACAATTTTGTGCAACGCCAATCGCTAGAAGATGGTCACTTCAAGTTCAGTGAATGTGACACACCTCCTACGAGGATGACGGTACGTCTTGCGACAGGCGCATCCGTAACCGTCATGAAGCGTATAGTGAAGATCCACTATACGCTGGAAGATACCCAATATGACGATGACTTTATCGTATTGGATTTGGATGACAAATTTGATGTCATCCTTGGAATACCGTGGCTCAGAAGGTACGAACCACGGGTAAACTGGCAACATCGAACAGTAACGATGCCTGCCGCTTGTTCATCAGATGGCCATCTGATGAACGTTTTGGAAGCGTCCACAAGCGTGTGGATGTACTACGAGTGAGTGCGATGGCCTCACTTGTGGTACGGTCGTTAGTACGACTGCACAAAACCTTAGTGTAACAAACAGTTACACTTCGGAGCAAAGTTCCGGCGGCTGTGAGGAAACACAGGCTGCGCCGAAGGTCCACCACTCGAATAAGTCGGGTGGACTGGGACAAAGATGTATCCCTAGCGGGGAACATCTAGAAGAGAAACAATCGATCGCTCAGGTTAAGCGAAACGATAATCCTAGATCGA